TAAGAAAAAAAAAACCCCAAAAGTGATAACAATGAAAAATTAAAGTGGTAGATTAAAAGTGGATGTGTGTATCACAGACACCTGAGGATGCTTTTTCTAAAGAGCACGTGCCTGTGCTTTTCCAGCATGGATTTCTGTTTGTCCTGAGGGTGGGGAGTGGGCAGGCGTGTGTGATTCTGATACCCTCCTCCTTTGAGAATGTCAGCTCTTTATTATCTTATTTCAGATTTATATAACATTGATGCAGTTTTTGTACTCAGGCACTGACAGAGTGTTTAATGAAGCTACACAAAGTATTAGTTAGACGTTACAGGAACTAAATATCAATATATGGCCCCAATATAAAAGCTGTCACTAAGATGAGAGTGAAGAGTGCCACATAAATGGGACATGTTCTGTAATTGTAACTAAGGTTATTAAGATTCTGGTAGAATCCAGTGTTCATGCCACTATATTTGGAAAGCTGAGTTCTCCAATAAATGCATTAAATCACTTTATATAAACTTTAATTTTTTTCTTTGGAACCACTTTATAATGTGTCAATGTTACTTTTTTTTGTAAAGAGATTATAAAGTTACCGATAATAATTAACTAATGTGTCTAAGATTACATAACTACTAAATGGTGGAACTAAGTTTTATATTCTTGACCGATTTCAGTTGTGATGACATTCATAGCCAAGGACTATGAAAGAAACTTCAGACATATTTTAACCAGTGTGAATTTCAGCTACTTTAAAATTTTATTGCCTTTAAAACTATTTAATTCAACTAAGGGAGAAGAGAATAAGATTATTTATTATTCACCTGGGGAGAAAAACCCAAATCTAATGACACTATTGAAGAATCATGGTTTAAAAATGTTTGAGGTTTACTTTTATTGTGATTTGCAGTTTAAAAAGCCACTTCTCTGCATTTTCAAGGCACACACTCCAGAATCTCCTTCCTTGCCCACCAGCCAGCATCCAGACTCTCCACATTTTGCAGACTGTGTTCACAGAATTTAGCTTAGATTTGCTAACTGTGGCTTGAGATTTTGTGCCACAGTTACTGTCAGAATAACGAGTTATTCCCTGGGCCAGAAATCTCCTGTGTGTTATATAGGCATCCAGAAATGCTTCTATAAATAAAAGCCAGAATTTTTATTTCAGAATGAAAACATCATGTTTCTAATGTAACATAGGTGACTTGTCCATCTTGAGTGGCTTCAGTCCAGTTGCTACTAATAGCTTTATCATCTTACTGTGCATCTATATGGAAGTTAAAAAGTAACTTGGAACTTTAAAGAAATGTATACTTTATAAGTGAAATAATATCTGGGATTCATTTTAAAATCCTCTGGAATGGTGATTATTGGTGCAAGGTAAATGAATCAAGCTTAAAAAAATTGATATTTGTTAAAGCTGGTTGTTTAGTACATGGGTATTCACTGTACTATAATTTCTACTTTTGTATGTGAGTGAATATTTCTATAATAAGATACTTAAGGAAAGAAATGCTAAGCTTTCAGTGTGGATATCATAGCATTAAATGAAAATAAGGGATCAAGTATCCACCATATTAAAAGCAAGTGATAACATTCTAGTTAATAATACATTTGTTGTTTAAATTTCTATAAAGAAAGGAAAGAAGGGAGTGTAGGGAGGAATGGTTTCTTTCCTCTACCCTTTCTTACATTCAAGGTTGAGGGTTCTATAACAAGACACAGACTAACAAGAGAAAGGCTTTATTTAATATAAGTTTGATGTGACATGGGAGTCTTTTAAAGGAAATAAAGACTCAGAGAAATGGATTAGCCTCTGATGTTTTATGCTAGGTTTGAAGAATAAAAATGGCTAGTTGTGGACGTATGGAGAAGAATGGAGAAGCAAGAGTCCAGTGTACTCAGTTCTCATATGAAGGCAGTAGGTGATCTAATACAAGGTGGGGGGGGGGCAGGAGAATGAGGGAGCAGGGAGGTAGAGGAGAGAAGGGATTGGGGGGGGTTCACAGTGTATGGCACACCTCTTGGGGGTGGGGCACAATCATTGTGGGTATACTCGTCCACAGTGATTGGGTAAGTATGATCAAATCATAGTACACTGGTAGGAACTTAGCAAGTGTGTTTGTTCATATTCTTCTTTGTGACCCTGTGTCTTTGAGATAAGGATGTTCTTTTCCTCTAGGTTTAGGGAGGGTACTTTTGAATGAAAATGTTTTTTTGTTTTTATTGTTTGGATCCATTGAGGGTACAAAGAATTAGGTTACACTGATTGCATTTGTTAGGTAAAATACCTCTTATAATTGTGTCCTAATCCCAAGAGGTGTGCTGTACACTGTGACCTCCCCATCCCTCTTCTTCCTTCTCTCTCCCTGCTCCCTCATTCCCCTACACTCCCCTTGTACTTGATCATCTACTGCCTTCATATTAGAATGGAGTACATTGGATTCTTGCTTCTCCATTCTTGTGATGCTTTACTTAGAAGAATGTGTTCCAACTCAATCCAGGTTAATACAAACGATGTAAAGTCTCCATCTTCATTAATGGCTGAATAGTATTCCATGGCATACATTTACCACAGCTTTTTAATCCATTCCTGGGTTGGTGGGAATTTAGGCTGTTTGCACATTTTGGGAATTGTAAATTGAGCTCTAAGAAACAGTCTGGTACAAATGTCCTTATAATAAAATGAATTTTTTTTTCTTCTGGGTAGATGCCTAGTAATGGCATTGCAGGATCAAATGGGAGGTCTAATTTGAGGTTTCTCCATATTCCTTTCAAAAAGGTTGCATTAGTTTGCATTCCCAGCAGCAGTGTAAAAGTGTTTCCTTCTCTGTACATACACGCCAGCATCTGCAGTTTTGAGACTTTGTGATGTGGGATATTCTCATTGGGGTTAGGTGATATCTCGGGGTGGTTTTGATTTGCATTTCTCTGATGATTAGATATGATAAGCATTTTTTCATGTTTGCTAGCCATTGGTCTGTCTTTTTTAGATAAGGTTCTATTCATGTCTCTTGCCCAGTGATATATGAGATTATTGGCTCTTTTTTGATTGATTATTTTGAGTTGTCTGTAGATCCTAGTTATCAAGCTTTTATCTGATTCATAAAAATGAAAATATTATGACTTGCTTCAGATTAAGGTAGAAACCCTTCCTAGGTCTTAATGACTGGTTTCCTGGGGGAGTCGTGAGGGAAGGTGAGTGTGACCTTTCTGGTTCAGCTGTATTCTCAAATGCTAAGGTGCCATATTTTGGGGTAGTATGTCCTGAACCCTATCAGGAGGGAGGGCTTTTAAAAAATGAAAATGTAGCATTACTTTCCTGGTTACAATATTATTGTTAAATTATTAAATATACTTTTTGTGTCTTTGTTAAAGAGATTCATAAACATCTTTCTTGCTTTCAGAGAACTTTTGTGGAGATCAGAACACATGTGACTAATTATTCAGGGGCTTAAAATAATAACTTGTACTCGACCATAATTTGTGTTGAGGAACATGCTTGTGACTGCTAGAAAGGCCGTGGACCCAGGTGGGGACTGTAGTCCTAGTTCATTAGACGTGCTGTGGATTGGTATGAAAGACCTTGCTTTACAGCTCAGGTTCTGCTCTCTACACATTAATGATCTTGGACAAGCGTCTTTGCCCTATTGTTTCACAATTTCTTCCTCCACAAAAATCCAAAGGAGAAGCAGCGAGTTTGTTAGCCAATAAAAATCTATGATTCTGAGGTCTGCCTTATATAAAACTATGGAGGTTATCATTTCTGACCTCCTGATATTGTTGTTTTTGTTCTTGATGGCTAATGTGTCTTGGTCATTTGAGACTTGAAGACTTCGATATAAATGCCTACATAAGCCAGGTGCATAATATAATTTGGCAGATTGGGCTAGGTGAAATAATGGTGTTTGTCAGTGTAGTCATGTTTTAGTTTTAAGTTACTGGTTGATAATTGGTCTTAATATTGGAGCAGTGGGGTTTGGAGTCACTGGAAAGTTGTGACCTTTCTAAGGGATCATCTGCTACTTAGTTCTGTTGCGATTTGGGGACATGAGCTTTGTTTTGCCAAATTTTCTAAACGGCTGTTGGTTGCCATTTTCTAGTCTCTGTTTTATTCTTTGTGGGCAAGCTACCTTAGGCCCTGTCCTTAGAAAATCCCTGAATGGGAAATTGTTAGATGTCCAGTTAGTGTTTATTTGATTCTTCTGAATATATTGTAGGTGGTAGACAAGTGATATCTCTATTCATATGGTTAGTGGTAACTGGGAAAAACTAGTATCCTGGTAGGAAA